AAAAAGACATCTACATTCTCCACATTTTCTGCTCACAAATTCAATGTCGTTTATTACTATTGTATAACGCCATCAGGAAATTTCATCGTAATAACTTTTATTAAGTATACAAAAACAAAATATTAAGTTAATTGGGAATAGCTTATCCAACTTTGATTGTTAGTCTTTTGTCTTAGAACTTCATGGGTATTTGAATAAAGGGGGTAAGTTTCTAAAGAAACTGTGGTGCTGTGTCGGTGGGAGAGTATAGCAGGTAATTTAGTGTTAACAACTGAGTTGAAAACGTAAATTAGCCACTGTAAAGGGTAAAAAAGCTGACGTTTCGAGCGTTAGCCCTTCGTCAGAGCGATTGGAATTTGTTTGTTTATTTTTAAGGCTTTTTAGGCTGAGGTGAGTTAATCCATTACAAATGTAAAACCAACCTAATTAGATGTTGTCTATACGTAAAATACGAATTTCTCGAGTTGCACCTAAAGTCACGTTCAAGAAGAATTGTCATGGCGGCTGCCCCTGAAGATTTGTCCTACGCTGTGCTATGCATGTGCATTACGCTCTTCCTGGTTATATTTGACACTGTAAATTAATTTAATAATGGCCACAACGAGATTGTGGAAACCATTGGAGAAAGATGAATACTGTATTTCAGTCTAACTGCGCCTTTCCAAAGGTTATTTACCTGAAGAAATATCGTGACAAAGTAAAAAGCACGAATCGTTGACATGGCATCCGAGCCACTTGCTCCAGCATAAGAAAAAATCGCCGAACCGGGAAGAACAGAGAGTATCCAAGGTAATAGGGTCAAAATGCCGTCTTCCTGGACTCCATAGAAGCTAAATAAGAAGCTCTAATTTTTTGTAAGCTTCGTAAGCTCTTTCTACGTCCAAGATTGAGCGCAAATATGACAATTTTAAAAATGATTTGTAATTCTAATGAGTGTTCCGACTTCAAAAGGCGGGTTCAAAATAGTCGAGTTCTTCAGGCATCCGCTCACTCATAAAACGAAGTAGGATGCCTTGCTTAGGACAGATTTTCAACCGAGGAGTTCCATAGAGATCTGCAAATAGTGTTGTAATTTTAGAAATACTCAACTCGAATTTAACCGAACTCGAACTTAAAACACTTTGCTTTAAAAGCATTTTTAAGTCATTACAGGAGCATACAACGAAGGTTATATGCTTCTATCGGTTAGGCAGAGCTACGCGGTCCATCGATCTGTTTTCCTTTCCAATGGGAATTTCCAGTTAAAATTTGGAGCTGATTTTCATTTACTGTCAGTATTGAAGAAACACATTGCAGACGATAAGGGTTTCATTCGGCCACTTCCCGTCTAGATAAAGTTAATGACATAATTAAATATCTCTTGGTACATAAATGCAATATCTTCGGGCCTCTCAAGTTGTTGAAAGGAAAACATGAAAATAGGTTATTCCACCCTTCCTTTCCTGTCTTCGTTTCTATAGCCACTCTATGTGCACTACTCCAGGGAAAGAGAACCTGGGGTCAAACTTGCACCCGCTTTTCGACGATATTTGTAAGGTACATGTTAAATTCAAACAAGAACATTACGAGAAAATAAGTAGCCTGTTCACGTCAAAGCTTGTGATTTAATAAGTTGGAAAAAAATGTATACATCAGTAATAAATTCCTATGAGGACTACGTTAAATAGGTAATCAAAGCAAAAAGAGACAAAACACCAGGTTCTCAAAATTTACTCAATTTCTAATTATTACTCACAAAAGTAAAAGCTTAAAATATCAAGCCAATTTTTAAAAAAAATCGAACAAAAATTGTTAGTATTAATAAAAATTATTAACCATTGTTAATAATTTTTCAAACTTGGTTTAATCATATTAATTAATCAACATTAAAACAATTAATCGATTTAGCTGCACGCAGAGAATATATGAGTATACATGAGTTTTTTGAACTTTCCGAAATCGTGCGGAATTATCTCAAATTATACGCGTGTCTGTTTTTAATCAGAAGAAAACATCCAAATTTAACAGCATAGTCCTTAAGTAGGCAAACCTGTGCAAAACTAACCTTTCTTCAATCGATATAAGGTTTGCTATTTCCGTTCAACTTCTGACGGCATTGTCAAATCCAGAAATAAACTTGTCACCTTGTTCAGTATGACCACCTTGTCGTTCCACGCAGAGACGACATAGAATAACACGTGTGTGAAAAAGACAATTGCAAGACGTCGGGGTTTCGTGGTCTGCGAAGTTATGGACAACGCGTGCAAAGCGCGAGGTGGATCGAGATTTTTTTAAACTTATCAAATCTCGCGTAGTAACAGAGCTGAGCGATTATTAATCGTGAAATGTCAAAGTCTGACATAAGTTCTTTACGACTCGAGCTAAGAAATGATTTCACGTTGACCCTAAACTATGCCTGCCCAGGCATATACGAGAAAGGAATCAATAATAGGTATCATGTTAGAGTTTCAATGAAATCCTTGCGGTCAGGGTAAAATGAATTCAAAAACCGTAGATGTGACCGGAAGGGGTCTTCAATTTAGAAACTAGTGTCAATCTGCTACCCAATCCTTCGGAGAGTTTCTCGAGAGCAACACCTAAGGGTACGGCTATGGTGGCAACACACCTATTATTGGAAAAAAGACCTCCAATGACAATGCAAAATCCTGGCATCGCCTGAGGATGTTGCTCAGATTTTTCAAAAATTACTGCTCCCGAATCTCCAAAGTAAGAGAATAAATTCTCGTTGTGTGGAAAGAGTATGCAGTCCCTACGCCACAGATCGTCATCTGCTTTCTCTTGAGAAATTACAAAGCTTCTTGACAAGAGTGATGGCCTTTCATGTTCGGAACTCATTAAAAACGCTTTGCCATGGAAAAAAGAACTTTTTAGAGAAGTACATCCAGTGTAGCTGCCACTTTTAAACCATTCCCTCCATTTACTTTGTGACTCACCCATCGTGACATTGCCATCTGGATAGTTGGTTGTGTCAACAATTTCGACAAAACCATTTTTTTTTAGAGCTTCTTCTTCTTCTTTGGTCAACTTAGCAATTGCAACATCCAAGTAAAATGGTTTGCCTAAAAACTCTACGTCCTCGCGAATGCCACCTACGTATTCTGCGACAGTTCTTGGTGGCTCTGAAAGAAGTTTCAATAATATGTTTTCGCACTCTATTAACTTCGGATCCAGAAGAAGACCCAAATAGTTACAAGCCGAATTTACTTCACCTCTCAGTTGCATAAAATTATTTCCTAGCTGTGGATGACAACCAATTATTGGTTCAAATATACGATCTATCCAGCTTCGGTAGTCAGTCATGTGATAATCTATAGAGTTCGAGTAATGGTGCGATCCAGGGTGTGTTACCTTTCCCCCCACTTCATGTTTGATCACATGATCACAAGAGAGTAGATAAAGTCCGTCATCATTGTCTTTTAAAATAGCTCCTAAGGTCCCAGAAAAGTTTGTCGCTCCTATGCTTGCTCCTAAACGAAGATACTTCTCCTGTCTATGTGCCGTGAGGGGCTTGAGGGTGCCTAACGTTTCACACCAAAATCCATCCACGATGTCTACGGGACAATCCTCAACTGAGTTTGGGATTTCCGATTCGCCTAAGGGGACGCGTCCTTTGCCAAGAACATAAACTCTGATGCAAGGATCGTTTGTCTGCTTTAAGTTTGTTTCTTTCAAAGAGGGCTGGATTGCAGTGATGTTACGGTGCTTGGAGAATACGTGAAGATTTGTGTTAATTATTTTACTAACATCATTGACCTGAGATACTTCTAATTGTTTGAAATCTACCGAGACAATATTTGGTATATTAGACGCGTAATTGTACAGATTAGTCCATCTGAGTTCAACACCTGTCTCCCTAAAGAACTCTTCAGCATCTGCTTTCAACTCTTTTGGTATACCGTTCTTGTCACAAAATACGTACAGTTGGACATAAACCCGACCGCTTGCATTTGTGTATGGCAATACGCGGATGCATTCCTTGTGCTCAGCTTCAAACGTTGTGGTTTTTCCTTTGATGTCATGATCTTGTGCTCCTGATGAAAATAAACACAATGATGTCAACTAATTGACAAAGAGATTCCATTTTGCCATGCATTTGTTCAGTAATAAGGTAATTGGTTTCATCAACTAAGTTGAAATTGTAGATTGGCCACCGTAAAGAGTTAAAAAAGCTGACGTTTCGAGCGTTAGCCCTTCGTCAAAACTTAGACGAAGGGGGTGGACAATTTACAATTTCAACTCAGTTGATAAAACCAAATTACCTTGTTACCTCCACCAACGCAGCACCACAGTTTCTTTAGAAACTTACCCCCTTTGTTCAGTAATAAATCGCAGATGACATCAAAATGTGGCTAGAACAAAAAAGTGGCATACGAGGCGCGGCCGAGTGTGTCACTGATGTTCCTACTAAATTTTGACCTCTTCTGTGATCTATTACTGTAAAGATTCACGGCACCATGAAATCGATTTGTTTTATATGACAAAAAAGGGGAATGTTGTTAATGGTGACGTCGTAAGTGAGAACCAATCAAATGCGTGTATAATTCATCTTATCATACAACGTGATTTTGATCACTTTTTGCTGTAGTTTATCACAAAAATTATCCTTATTACTATTGTTCATTCATTTTAAGCATAGTATTTTCTTGGTGTTAAGTCGTTTTTTACACACGCATATTTTGGGTGGGAAAAATGATATGTCAGTAACACAAAGTATATCATACCGTCTATTCATGACCCATCAGGAAAAGCTAAAGATTTTAAAAAATCAAGTCCGTGCATTTGGATCCCGGCAAGTTAGAACCACTATTTCGATTTCGAGGAAGGAGGTTGATGAATAGAGGATGTCATCCGGGTTTTTTCTTAACCTCACTGATCTTCTAATTATGTTTACCTTTCTAAATTAGGATGGAGATAGGTTGGCTTATGGATACTCTTTACATGTCAACATTCATTGGAGCAAATTAACGAAGAGTGATTTTCTGAGCTGTACCTTGCATGGGCTAAAGGCTGATAAAATGTGCTTCGTGAATATGTCCCAGCGCAATTTGTTTCCGATTGTCAACTAAATAATTTGGCGTAATGATTACATCATTGACTTGAGGCAGACTACTGATTACACAATTGCACGCTGCATGCCGGTTTGCTCTTTCGACCTTTCGACTTTCGTTTCTTAGATATCTAAGGTTTTTTTCATTCTTGGAAGGCTACTATTTTGCATTTACAAATATTTTTGTAATGAGTGCATTGAAATCCTCTACTGTGGTGATGAAGCAAAGACACTTTTAACACGATCTTGTTGTTTGTTTAGATGTGTAGCTCTACACATGCATATCTTCTTAGCCTTGGCACTCCCTCGCGTAGGATAGCTTTCCATTGCCTCAGAAATTTATAAGTCTTCCAATTAGTCTTGTACTTCCTCAAGTAAAATAAACAAGATCTTGTGTACGTTTGAATGTTCCTGTTATTTCGAAGGAGGATACGTTACCTGGACCCACGCTGAGCGTTTCTTCAAACGATTCACTTTCATCTTCTCCACTCTGTTTCTCAGTCTGTTTTTTGTCCATTGGAACACTAATAACCTCTTCATGTAAAGTTGAATCCTTTCCTTTATCAATCGTGGAAGGACTTGTTGCTGTCGGAATGAAATGAACAAATTGTTTGTCGGTCCATCAAAATGATAAAATACTACCCTGACTCTACAATTGCTATATCCCTTTTGAACGTTTTAATCCATCTTAATACATACCGGGTGACCGCTTAATATGGTGCTGCTTGATACAGTTTCCACTGTATATCATCCATCCATATTCATGAATAACCAAGAAAAGTTAACGATTTTAAAAATATCAAATCTTTGCATTTTGATCCTAACAAGTTAGAACCGCTCAAAAAAAAAAGTTATTTAGATCAGCGATCGAGCTTGAGATTAATGCATATGTTGCTCTTTCGACACTTTTATATTTCTTAAGAGGCCATGTTCTCTTGTCCAAATGAAAGCTTCGTTTCTTAGATATCTAGTTTTTTTTCATTCTTTGAAGGCTACTATTTTGCATTTGCAAATATTTTTGTTATGAGTGTATTGAAATTCTATACTGTGTTGATGAAGCAAAGACAATTTTAACACGGTTAACGGTGTTAGTTTAGATTTGTAGCTCTACACATGAATATCTTAGCCTCGGCACCCTCGCACGTAGGATAGCTTTCCATTGCCATGAAAATTAAACGAGTCTTCCAGTTAGTCTTATACTTTCTTGAGAAAGAAAAAAATCTGATATTGTCTGCGTTTGAATGTTATTGTTATATTGAAGGACGATAAGTTACCTTGGTTCCCACTGAGCGTTTCCTCAAACGATTCACTTTCGTCTTCACTCTGTTTCTCAGTCTGTTGTTTGTCCTTCAGAACACTAGTAACCTTTTCAAGTGAAGTTGAATCCTTTACTTCATCAATCCTCAAACGGAAAAGGCTTGTTTCTATCAAAACAAATTCAACATCTTGTTTGCCAGTCCATCAAAATGATAAAATTTTACCCTAGCTTTACAATTGCTATTGCCCTCCTGGACGTTTCAATCCAAGAGGCTATTCAATTCTCGTCTGCCATGCTACGAATATACGTTATAATATTTGCCGATTCTTCAGTCACTGTCGTTCAGAAAACAGTCCTGAAAGGACTGCCCTCACCCTCAGACTGCATGATCATCTGAATAAACGGAGCTAACAGAGTTTATAAAGAAACTGTGTTGTGGCGTCTGTGGGGGAGTTACTTCATGCTCTCTGACAAAGGGCTAAAGCTCAAAACGTCAGCTCAGAAACGTTGGCCAATTTACATTTTCGACTCAGATCATGAAACCAGTTTATCTTGTTACACGATCATCTGTTAGTAGCGTGGGTAAAGAAAATTAACAGTACTTTCAGAAATAATGCATGTAGGCTCCAATAGGCGCTGGTTTCTTCGATCGTGAATCAAACGAGTTTATGATGACTGTACAAATTTGTTAAAGCTGTTTTAACTTCTCCTATTCTCTTATCGGTCTCAATAGAAAGAAAAAATAATAACTTTTATATGTTATTTACCTAGACTCTCACTTGAGGCATCTTCAGGCAATTTAGTTCCGCCCTCTATGGGCTGTTGGTCAAGCTTCTTATTGTCCTCTAGAACACTGGCAACTGACACCAGTGAGGGTCTGACTTTTTCCAATTTAGCATTTACGTCATCACGCAGTTGTTTAACCTGGTATCTCAAAGACGGTTGCACAGCATAGTCGCTCAAAAGCCTTAACCCTAAAAAGGAAAAAAATGATAAGTGCACTACTCAAGAATTCTCCAGTCATTTAATCATTATGACAAGTCGCGGCTAAATTCATGATAGCGTTTTCGGTTGGATGTGAAGCAAACTTCCAATCAAGAATTCCCTTTTTAGTTAATAACATTGCTCCACATTCAATTTTGAAATTAAGAGAAATGTAATAAATAAACCAGAGGTAGAGTGTCCTGGATCTTGTAATTTAAGGGGCGTTCAATTAGAGCTAGATGCAATTTTAAAATGAACTCAAAAGGTATGGTAATTTTCTTTCAGTAGTTTCAGATGTCCCGTAAACTGCTATATATTCAAAGGCGCAAGTATTCCGATTCGCTATTTCCTTTCTAATGCTAGTTCCACGGGCATTGTGATGGGAAGACACCTTCCGATTTATGTTCCTGATTCAGAATCTTGTAATTGTCTTGAAAAAGATGAGTCGCCATTTTATCCTATGAGCCCTCGCTCCTCTTGGTGTTTTGCACAGCCGGGAGACTATTACGGGCTTTGGGAAGACGTTATCTTTTTCCTTCATAGTTTTAAACGCTATTTATAGAAAATTCAGCGATAAATGCATATTTTCATATTGTTAAATTATTTCCAGGTAGGACTTCTTCCTACCTGTAAATATCTAGAAAGTTCAAGCAAACAAAGTGATCAAGACTGTAACTTTTTAATCAGACGAACGGCAAGATAAATAAGAAATGTTATCGATCGCATGCAGTTTTTTGTCGACAAAACGAGTATTTCGAGAGATCACAAGAAGATCCTGTTATTTTTTTACCCCATAACAACAACGAGCATATTAACGACGACGAGTATTTAATCAAATTTTTGGTGGCGAAATCGATTACACTCTGGTGGCGAGTCTTCCTAGAGGCAAAGTGACTGCTTACCCCTTCTCCACCCTGCTCTTTGCACACGAGTTACACAGGGTAATCAATTTCTTGGAGGGATATGCCCAAATTAGGGGCTAAGTGAAACAAATTTTTCAATAATATTGTTTAACTTCCACTTAGAAGCCAAAATGACTCTTGTTCACAAGCAATCTCTTACCTGATTCGATGAGTTCAAGAAGCTGGTGAAGCCCTTCCTTTCTTTCCTTTAAAGTTGCCAGCATTCTTTTCAACAATCCTTCAGTTCGTTTCATCCTCCCCAATTGCAAGTTCCACATTTTCATTAGTTTTCCACTTCTTCCTAGCTCTTCTTCTGCGAGAAACTTAAGTTCCGCCCGCATGTCATTCATTATGTCCTCTTTAATCTTGCGTGCCCTCTCCGTTGGAAAATCGTCTTCAGAGTAACTGCTAATGTCCCTAATCGACGCTGTTGCAACGTTAAGGATACCAAATGCCTCCTCAGAAAGTTTTATGTATGTTTCAAACTCTTTTGTGTCAATTTCGGCTTTGGGTAGGTGTAAAAGGGTATTTCTTAGAGTTCGCAGTTGATTAATCGCTATTGAAAATGGTTTAGTAACACTGCTACCGGATTTTCCGGATGTAAGGAGTTCATCCTCGGCTAATCGATGAGGTCGAGACTTTATATACTTTTCACTCAGTGACGTCTTCCAACCTGTACTGTCCTCTTCAGAGAATGACTGAGAAAAAATAGTGGCACGAAACAGGTTGGAACAGTCCCATTCAGTATAAGAAAGGCCTGTAGGTACATCTGTGGTGCCACCTTCTTCATGGAGAAACATTTTACGTACTTCCTCAGAATCATCCCAAATCCGATACCCAGGTTTTTGGCCGTAGGTGGTGTTCCACAAGTGTTCAAAACTTTGCCGTAGAGCCTTGGGGAACTCATTTACTACAATATTGGCAAATTTAAAATAATTCACTTGCTCTTTGGTAAACGGCTCCAATGTCATATTTGTATTCAGCTCAGGTAACACTAAGGAGAGATTAACAAAAGTATTATTAATGTTAACGGAAAAGTATTTACCTAGGATTGCACAAGACGTCGCCATAATTCATCGCTAAATGGAAAGGAACCCTACCAAAACCCTACAATGTGACATAAAACGTCAGGTTCGCCATATAAAACCAGGACTAATCCGTGCTTGTGTATGGTTCTCTACAAATTGCCAGTAAATGATCAAAAGGTTATTCAAAAGTTGCTCGTTATAATAGCAATAAGGTAACCTGATTTCACTTATGAAACCGGCCAAATCACACTGTTCACATACGACACGACGTAAGGAGCTCAAACCAATATTACAGTTTGGACAAGTTAAGAGTGATAATCTGGGGACAAAAATCTACACCCAAGCACTTATAGGATTGCAAAGAAGTCACTCGAACCTTCCATGGTGAAGAATGTCATAGGACTTTAGGACTTTTGTGACCTTTCTGGAGAGTTTGTTTCTCTAAGACAACCAAAAAACTGGTTCCTGTTTCATTTAATTGATCCTAAAACTGAAAATGTCGCTTAAAAGTATAAAAGTGTTAGGAATTAAAAAAGTTGCTCGAAACAACCGAGGATCAAAATTAATTGATTGTTAACTGAAACCATTTTTCAAAACAATTTAGAACCAAAGTTATACACGTTTCTGAGTGTTTTATCGACCTCTACTAAACAACATCTTAAAACCTTTGGCTAAGATGTAATGACATACAGTCATGCTTTTCCAATAAGCTTAAAAGCAATCCTACCTTTGCATAAATAACAACTATTCACCAAAATAGAGGTAGCTAATGGTGGATATTTTTAAACATCCACCACTAACCACTGTCTTAGAGGTGAATAGTAATTTTAGTATATTTACTAAAACATTGAGATAATCTAGCAAAAAAAGATGATTGTAACTCATTTGTTCCTGCAACGATTACAATAAATTCGGGTGCAACTGAATCCCGCGCAAGTTGCTCGGAGGTGAATACCAACGGACATTTTGAGTTTGAGTCGCCAGTCAGAACGATCCGTCGACGCTGTCTACTGTATTAGTATAGACAGAGGAATCTTGGATAGCTGGCACATTTGAAAAAGAAAAGGTGCAAAAATTGATGCCCGGAGAGTACTAGATAGGTATTGCCACAGGTGAGACAGATATCAGCAGGTAAATGATAAATTTCAAAAAGGAATGGTAGCATTTGATTCGAGCATCAACAAATTCATGCAGGTCTTCAGAGCGACTTTCGGAGTAACAACCAGAAGGTGCCGCGGAGAACAGTTATTATCCTAAACGATCAGTAGTGTTCAACAATAGGAAATAAGATGAGAAAGCATGCACTCAGACCTGTGCCTTCTGAAACTGAAACTTTCATGTCGTAGGCACTCTACTCAAACAAGAGGGGAAACGTTTCTTACTCATGCCGCTCGTCCAATTCCTGTGTGAGAGTGTTCTACCTAGCAGGGGATCATAACCATTTTCTATTTTTTTCTGAAGCATCTTGGCGGGCCAGAATCCTACATCGTCGAATGTGATTGGCTTATCGCGCGCTCGTAAGTTTCAAAATTCGGTAGAATGTTTTCATAATCTTAATAACTTTGCAGTTTTTCAACGACTTTGGCCGGTCCGTTGTTTTCATTCCTCTTCAATACTCTAGGTTCATGTTGCTCTCGAGTCTACGATTCCGGATCATTGCAGAGCATTCGCTTTGAGTGATCCCGCAAACAGCTTTTACCTAACGCCATGCAATCACGAACAAAAGGTGGCCTGTGACCGATGCTCGAGTCTCTGTCAGGTGTGTGTTTATGTATCTTTTATAATCCACTTCCATTGCCAACTGTCTACTATTTATGGACAGTACTGAAAATATATAAGATATAGCGTAAAGTGAATGGGTGCGGCAGAGAGCGGAAAACTGTAATGACCTCAGATCAAGTATTTTCAAATTTCGAGAGGTACTGATTACGGTTTGCTAACGTTCAATGCTTTGAAGTCCTGGCTTCTTTTGCAGGTGTTAGACGACATTAATTGTGAGGTACATAAGAAGTTTTTAAACGAGGAAAACAGAGATGAAGCAATCTTCGTGGTCCAAAATGCGAGGTAGGCCATTTTAGAATGGAAGGCACATCAGTTACGAAGTGCTCATCAAGACACTTGTCGCTTGGATATCCTGCAGCGTATGAGCTCTTCTTCTGTGCTGATTGTCCAGGACTTCGCAATGAAGTTTATTCCAACCCGCTATAGAGAAGCACAAAGCGATTTCTTCGGATAAACGGGGCATTTCGTGGCACATTTCAGTATGCCTAAGGAAAACCGACAAACGGCTCAAGGCACAAACATTTATTCATATTCTAGAGTCAGGACTGCAAGATAGTGAAACTGCAATTTTGATCATGGAGCACGTGCTCCGTTCCTTAAAACTACAGCATCCAGAGATTACCTCATAGATAATGCCGGATGTTACCACTCATCGTGTACAATTCTTTCTGCACGTGTACTTTCCTCACGCTCCAAGATACAGGTGAAGCAAATCGATTTCAGCGATCCACAGGGGGGGTGAAGGTGCGTGTGATCGGAAGGCTGCACGAGTAAAAGCTCATGTAAGAAGTTTTTCTAATGAAGGAAATTCGGTCACCTCTCCAAGCGAGTTTAAAATTGCCATCGAGTCACGAGGAGGTATTCCTGGGGTGCGCGTCGTAGTCGTCAAGGTAGACAGGGCAAACACGAAAACATTCAAACTAGATGGCGTGAATGCCTTTAACAATTTCGTTTTCGATGGCCACGGGTTCAACGCCTTCAAGGCCTACCAAGTTGGCCCTGGAAAAATCTTCCTTTATGAGGAATTTCACGAAGGTAAGCACATTCACATCATAAGCAGGATTTTTATTTCATCTTCTTTTATATCACTTGTCCGTTTGAAAGTACCACAGGTGTAAAAGACCAATAACGCTTGTTTCATCGTGCTCTTTCTACAGCTCTAGTATAATTATTACTGACTCTCTTATTACTTAGGCAAATGAAGTCACTGTGGCAGGAAATAAAGCGTCAGATTCGAGTGATCCAACAAGCTCTGATTCCGCTTCCCCACACGAAGATTGTACTGAAGCTTCTATGCCGAAAGAAGGGTGTATAAAATCTTTTGTACATTACTCTTCACTGGAGAAACATTGTATTTTTGGCGCTCATATAAGATCGTTGGAAAAAATTACCTTGCAAGACAGGGCAAAATTGTTGTATGCACAGCGTCTAGAAGAGGGCCAAACCAAACACCTTTCCTGTGTTCAGGTACACGGTAGCCCATCTCACCTTTGCTAGACATGGGCTGGGCGTTAAAATCAAAGGCAAAGGTAGTAAGGTTCAATGAAAAGCAAAAATCGTATCTTGAAAGCAGGTTTTTACACGGAGAGAAGTTAGGGAAAAAGGAAAGTGTAGAGCCTGTAGCTAAAGATATGAGAAAAGCCAGAGATGCAAAAAAAATAGAAGAATTCTTGACCCCGCAACAAATTAACTCGTTCTTTTCTCGCTTTGCGGCCAAACGAAGGCAGCTCAGTGAATCGGAAATTGAAGCAGTTCAATTAGAGAATGCTGTAAAGGAAGTTACCGAAGATGTCATAGTTGCCCTACAGCAAGAATCAAATAAGTACGATCATCCAATCGTGTTCAACGAGTTCAAGCTGTGTGAGATGTCGAAGGATGAACTGTCCATGCTACGCTTGACAACGCTCAAGGCAATCTCTGAAGAATTCGACTTGCAAGTCTCAGGACGGCGAAAGGCGCCTTATGTTGACTGTATTGTTTCTTTTTTTAACAGCTGTACCTGCAAGGCTACGTAAGAGCTGCATGCAACTCAAAGTAAAAGTATCATTACCGTCGTGTACATGGGCTGCGTGGAGCATATGTTGTGTCGATTGTAATATAGACCTGTTACTAAAGCCAGTCTTGTCAAATACATTAAGGCAAAAAAGAATAAAAGCGGCAATATTTTGCTTTAAGAACAACAGTGGCAAATGGTGAAAACAAATGTAGAGACAGTATTGAGTCCATAGTGACAGGCATATTCTCTAAATCAAATCCGCTGACCAAACGTGGTTTCTACTTTAGTCTAGGGTGTGTGGTTTTCAGGGTCAATCGCCCGTTTAAAGAAGGTGATTTCTGCTTTTCCGTTCTGTTACTTACCAGAACTTAGTTTGTATCTTTCAAGATAATATCTGGGGTGGGAAACAAAGCTTGAATCCTACCATGAAATGATCGTAAACATTTCGTGTGTGGTTGCTGGCTCATCATTGAAGTAGCTGTCACTTTTAGGTAGAATTGATATTTTTAGCAAATTAGTAACCTCTGACGATGAACACCAGAGCGAATCAATAGCCAAAGGAAAATGCATTGAGCCTAATTATGAGACTGAGAGTTCACGGTAAGCTTTATTTTGACTGATGTAAAACAACGGCTAGAAGCGATAGTTTCCTGTGAGACATTGATCATGAGATATAATTCTTTTAAAAGTATGTCTAGTAAGTCTGTCTGTGAAATTTGTCGCTGAAAACTCATTCAGCCATTTAGTCAGCCATTTTGTATTTGTTCTAAGGTTGTTGTTTTGGCGATGGAGGATCAACGATTTTGGTATACGATTACCTGGAGCTTTATGGTGCAAACGGTCCAAATACCTACAGACGCATACACAAGTCGTATTGAAATTCAGGCCCCGTACGGGATTTGAACCCATGACCTATGCAATACCGGTGCAGCGCTCCACCAACTGAGCTAACAAGCTAACTGGGAGCTGGTCAATATGTTGGGTCCAAATAAACCATCTAAGTGATGAATAAGGATTTTAGAGATATGAAATTCATATATTTGCACTGCGGTGAAGAAAAGAATTTAAGAGATCCTCGCAGCTAAGAACACTAGTGAACTAGTAGTTGAAAATAGGACCTGAAAAAAATTCAGATAGGTTGTCTTATGGATACTCTTTACATGTC